CCAGGCCATTTGTTGGCTTTACCACTTAGGGAGTGTATTTGGGGGAGCTTATGGCCAGGATCTGGGACTAAGATATCAGACAGCCTCCTTCAACACAGCACGATGATGGCTTGGGTCTGGGCCAACCTTCTGGAGGATTTTCCCAGCCGGAGGGACATAGGGCTTTGTGAGCCTCAAGTATGGCCTATGTAGGTCAGGCAGCCATAGCTGGCCTGAAGCCAGTTGGGGAACTCCTTCACCCCGCCCCAAGCCGAAGAGACTTGCTACATGTTGCTGGAGTCCTTCATTTCTCAGCTCAGCTGGTTTAGGGGTCACTGGCTTTATAGTGCCTTCTGTGCCAAGCTGGACTTTGGCCAGGCCTTCTGCTGTCCCTGCTGGCTGTTAGTGGCTGCCCTTGAGAGCTAACTCCTGGGCCCACACAGGGTACTTTTTAAAAAAATCCTCACCTGAGGATATTTTTCACATTGCTTTTTTTTTTTTTTTTTTTTTTTTTAGAGAGAGTGGAGGGTAGAGAGGAAGGGTGGGGAGAGAAAAGAAAGAGACAGAGAGAGAAACATTGAAGTGAAAGAGACACATTGATTGGTTGCCAGGGCCGGGGATAAAACCTGCAACTGAGGTATGTGCCCTTGACGGGAATTGAACCCACAGCCCTTCGGTCCACAGGCTGATACTATAACCACTGAGTCAAATTGGCCAGGTCCACATGGGGTACATTTGCTCTGCTGCCTGCTGTGTGAGGGTCTGCCTGCCACACTAGCTGTTGGAATCTTTCCTTATTGGGTGACCATCCAGCATCTTGGGGCACGCGACCTGAGAACTTTAGAGGTGTGGAGAGTGGACGGAGCACTCCTTACCTGGGTGAGGGAGTACCCATTGCAGAGCCCCAGAGTCTTCACACAGCACCATGGGCTCTGGGAGGTGCCTGCAGGCTAATATGTCACTGGCAGTTGAGGCCGTGTGGTCAGCAGGCATGTGGTCAAGGCCCTGGTGCAGACTAAGCCTTGTGGTTGGTCTCACCTTAGAGGCAGGGGAAGTTCTGTTAGGGTTTTGGGGACTGATGACAGGTGGTCTGGACTCCAATCTTGCTACCCAGTCTGCCCTTAGGTGGCTGCTACTGGATCAAGGTGGGGCATACACCTGGCCCTGGCATTGCCAGGGCAGGGAGCATTCCCCCTGTCACCCCTCCATGTTTCTGTGGTCATTTGCTTGTTATTTTCAATTGTTTGCTGATATAAGTAAGTAATTCCAAGTGTTTGCACAAATAATCTTTTGCCCTTTGGGTTATTTCCTTGAAGTATGTTCCCAGAAGTTCAGTTACTGGGTCAGGGGCAATGGAGCAGCTGTGTACTTCCCAGGATTGGTCTCTAGTCCACTTCCTGGAAACACTAATTCCACTTCTGTAGCACCTGGCATGGGGGGATGGTGCCCGCCTGCCCTGCTTCCTTCCCCCACTGACCTCCTTTTCTGAGTCCATAAGGTCAGGGCTCTCCAAACTGTGGTCATCTGAGACCTCCTTGTTGGAGGACCCCCCCCCCCTTTATCCTTTAACCTTTTGCGGTCCAATGTTATTTTTGGAATTCAAATAGTCTGGTCCAAATTAATTGACGGGATTGAATGTTGAACTTTTTAATGTTCTTATTGCTCGACGTTGGACCTGCTCCTAGCACCTGGTCTGTCGAGTCAGCCTCGAGGTTGGACCGAAAAGGGTTAATGTTTGTCTTTAAATTTACCCAGGTTTTCATTCTTTTAAATGGGAAAAGGAAAGTCTGTTTGGCTCTGGCAAATAAAGAAGGGAGGAGGGAAGCCGGCAGGCATACCACAACCCCCACATAAATATGGCGAGTAGACAGATACATAAATATTCTGCACACCCTCCCGTCCCAGCCCCTCCTGAGACCCCATGGCCTGCAGAGTCAGGCCTGGGCATTAGAGAGGCATCCAAGACATGACTGCATCAGAAGAGTTGACCAGGGCCAGCTTTCTCCCTGACCCTGCCACCTGGTAAAGGCCACCCTTTAGCAGAAAAGGGGACAGTCATCCTCCCCTCTCCCCCCCCCACCCCCCGTGCCCAACCTTCCTCAGGCTTCTGTCACCTTCCCCTGGCCCTGTCTTGGGCACAAAGGGGCCAACCTCTCACTTTGGGACACTGGTTGCCGCCTGTCCAGCCCACCCACCAGTCTTGTTTGTTTTGGCAGCCATATCACATGTTGGCTCTCCTGACCTCCACCGCCAAGGCCGGCAGATCCTCCTGGGTATTTGCTGCACACTCCCCTTTCCCCAGGAGTGAGGTTGTTTATTTGTACCTAATTATAGATTCTCACATTTATCTTGTCAACTGTGGGTCATTTTCCCAGCCCCATCAGTCCCCTAAGGCTCCCCTGATTTCTTCTCTGATTGACCAGGCTGTGGTGTCTATAGTGGGAGCAGTGGTGTCCCCAAGGGCCACCGAGGCCTTTCTAGAGCCACTCACCTGGCCCATAAGGACGTGGTTGATATGGGAAGCTTCCACGGTGGCCCAGAGCCCTGTTCTCTGGGTTGTTTACACCCCTGCCCCATCTATGAGTACTTTTGGGGAAGGGGGCAAGGAGAGAGTGACTGCCAGCCCCAATGCTCACCTCTCTCTGCCAAGTGCTCCCAAGGCAGCCTCCTGGCTCTGCCACCTGTACAGGACTCCACCAGGCCCACTGGTCCCGGAACCAAGCACACCGTCTTCTCCCATTGCAGATGGTGGCCCTGCCTGTGCCCCAGCTTCAAACACCTCTTCTTTGTTCTCTAATGTCCAGGGGACTAGCTCTGGTAAGATTGCTCCCAAGTGCTGGCCCCTGGAGCCTGGGATAATCAGGGTCTGCTTCCTGGAGGAGAGATGGGACTCTGCTCTGCCTGAAGTAGGGGAGTGTGCTCCCCCCCCAAATGGCCACTCAGTTTGCCTGAGCATCTGAGTGTGGGCCCTGGTGGTGCTACACTGCTATGGGGCAGGGCAGAGGACACAGGCCTTCAAGAGGTGCCAGTTCTTTGTTTTTGCCAACTAGGCTTGCCTGCCCTGCCAGCCAAGTGGCATGTCTAGGGAGGCCATTTCCTGGCCAGCATTGCCACCAACTTCTGTGGAAATGCTAGGGGTCGTGTCCTCAAGGGCCCTTTATTTCCCCAAGACAATAGATCGCTTGTGCCTTTGATAGAGCCAACCCAGCCACTGCCCTGCTGGCCACCTCTCTGCAGCGGGCACCTGTGTCAGGGAGTGCCTGGGCATCCTGGCCTTTCCAACATTTATATGGGCAATGACTGGTGGCCCTCGTCCTATTCTTGCAGCCACTTTATAATTTGTTTGTTCACTCTGTCCTATGTGTGGGGTTCTGTGCCAGGGCCTGGGGATACAGCAAGGAATGAGACCATCTGATATCATACCCTTGAAGAAGACTGACGAAAAACAAATAAGTGAAACCTGGCAAGTGTGGGAGGGTGGCAAGAGCTATGGAGGAAAGGCAGGGGGTGCAAGTGGCGAGTTTTGGAGGAGAGGGGTTTTAAGAGGACTGCAGGGAAGGCTTCCTTGATTGAGTGCCATCTAAGGCACCACATGGAGATGAGGGTAGGAACCAGGCGGGTACCTGGGGAAGAACATTCCAGGCAAAAGGCAGTGTGCACTTGCACATCTCTGAGTCCTAGTGAGGAGGCCTGTGTGGCAGGGGCAGAGTCAGCAAGCAGGGGAGAGAGAGGTGGTGAGGGCAGGGAGGGGACAGGGACAGGTCATGCAGGGCCTTGTGAGTCCTAGGGAGGACTTAGGCTTTTACCCCAAGGGAGGTGGGAGCCCTGGAGGTCTGTGGGCAGAAGAGGAGCAGGACCTGACTCAGGTGCTCACAAGTACCCCCTGGTGGCTGCCTCGGAAGAACAGCCTGTTGGTTGGAGATGAGAGTGAACTCAGGGACACTAGAGGGGAGGCTGGCACAGCAACTCAGGGAAAGAAGGAGGCTGTCTGGATTACCTAGGGTTGGGGCAGAGACAGTGGTAAGAAGTTGGGGGAATCTGGACATGCACACATAACATTTTTCGTTGAGAAATTTTTCATTGGCCCGAGCGTGACCAAGCTTGCAGTGCTGACAGCTCTCCACTGGGCAGATCCACGCTCAGATGCCAGAGCCCAAGGCCCATACTTGGGGGTCCATGTGGTTTCCAGCTGGGGCATCTGATCTCTGCTGTGTGTTGTTCCTTCTGTGCTGCATATACACCCATGCATGTGTACACATACACAAACACAATTCTCCTCCAATATACCCTGGGGCTGAGGCCAGCCTTCCCAGGCCTAGGACCTTCCTGGATCATCTCGAGTGGCCCCACTCCTAATGGGAAAGACCCACCAGGACTGCTTTGCCCTGCTCTGGAGGGCTTTTGTCCTGGATGTCCCTGCAGAATGGTCCAACCCTGGGGATTAGCTGAAGGGAGGGTTAGCAGGCTCTATTCCCTCTTAATTCCATGCAGAGGGCACATTTCTCTTTTGAATGGGCAAGTTGGCTGTGTTGGGCTGAATGTTGGTTTGCTTGCAGCCACTTTCCATGAAGAAGCAACAGGGTGGGCGTGGGACTGAGGCTTCTCATTTCCTGTTACTTAAAACTCTGAAGCCAAATTCTTGTCGGTAGGAACGTGGTGGTACAATAATAATAATTGCTTTTCCACCTGTCTAGCCGGCTGGATGCTGGCTGAGTTCTGATCCTGCAAGTTCTTGTGTCCCCTTCCCTAAACTGGCTCCTGTCTTTCTTTTCACACCTGTGGAAAAGGCAGTCCAGAGAGGTTAAGTGACTAGCCCAAGGTCACCCACCCCAGAGCTTACTTGGGCCTCCAGCCTGCAGTGAAAGTTTGGGGGTTGATAGATCCCCAAGCCACCTGCCTGCCAGGATGCATGGGTCCCTATGCCTTAGCTGGAACAGCCCTGCTCTGAAGGATCAGACATAGGCAAGGGTATTGTGCTGTCTGCAGTGGCTGTGTTTCTGGAAACCTGGAGCCACTGTTGGCTTCTGCACCAAGAAATGTGGTGCCTTGGGCAAGGGGCTCTAGACAGCTCTGACTCCACCCTGTTGTTAGCTGTCACATTTCCGAAGAACCTGGGGCACTGCTGTGAAGGTTCTGCAGGTGGACGTGGGTGGCATGTGGGTCTTTGCTTGGTGGGCTGCCCTGCTCTGCCCCATGGAGCCGTACCTATATCCCTCCCCACCCTTACAGTGGTGCTCATCGGGGACTCGGGTGTGGGGAAGAGCAACCTGCTGTCCCGCTTTACCCGCAACGAATTCAACCTGGAGAGCAAGAGCACCATTGGTGTGGAGTTTGCCACCCGCAGCATCCAGGTGGACGGCAAGACCATCAAGGCGCAGATCTGGGACACCGCTGGCCAGGAACGCTACCGCGCCATCACCTCCGCGTGAGTGGCAGGGATGAGGAAATGTAGGTCTTGGACATAGGGCTAGTGGGCTCTGAAGGAGGGGTAGGAGTTGGGCATGAGGAGAAGGGGAGAGCGCAACCCTGAGAGCATTTGGCCCAGGGTGGAGGGATGAGACCCCCCGCCCCAGGAGTGGTGGGACCCTCGGAAGACCATTGCCTACTCTTGACCGCTCTGTGACCTCATGTGGGCACGTCCAATGGCTCCTCTGACCCCTGGAGTGGGCCATTCCACTCTGCCCACCCCTCAGTCCTCCCTGCTTGGCCTGCCCTGCCTGGCTATGTTCCAAGTCTTCCTCTTTCCTTGGCTCCCTATGGCCACCCAGCCATCAGGACCTACTGGAGCTGCCTCCTTCCAGACCCCTTGGCCATTTCCTCTAAATGCCTTCCACTAAAGCCTGGTTACCTCTTCATCTCTTTAATCCCTCAGGGTGCATATGTGTCCATTAGTCTTCTTCATTGGAGCTTTTGTCTAGCAGCAGCCCTTTTCCTGCACAGGCAAGGTTTCCTTCGCCCTTTTTGTGGGTGTCTTCTGACCTCAGGCCCTTAACTCCCTCCTCAGGCCTCCACAGCCTTTTTATTTATTTATTTTCTTAATGTATATTTTTTATTGATTTCAGAGGGAAAGGGAGAGAGAAATTGAAATATGAATGATGAGCGAAAATCATTGATCAGCTGCCTCCTGCACGCCCCCTACTGGGGACCAAGCCCACAACCTGGGCATGTGTCCTTGACCGGAATAGAATCTGGGATCCTTCAGTCCACAGACCAACACTCTATCCACTGAGCCAAACCGGCTAGGATAGGCCCCCACAGTCTTGAACTGAATCTGGGGCACAGAGTCCTCTTGCAAGGCCATGGAGGTCGCCTCTCAGCTGGGCTCTGTGTGGGTCCAGGAACTGCTGCCCTCAGAGTCTTGGGGGCCCCCATGGGGCGCTGGCAGGCAGCTCATTCCTGGGCCCTGCCCCCTGTCCCCACAGGTACTACCGAGGTGCAGTGGGTGCACTGCTGGTGTATGACATCGCCAAGCACCTGACATACGAGAATGTGGAACGCTGGCTGAAGGAGCTGAGGGACCATGCTGACAGTAACATCGTTATCATGCTGGTGGGCAACAAGAGTGACCTGCGCCACCTGCGGGCTGTGCCCACTGATGAGGCCCGAGCCTTCGCAGGTGAGCACCTACCAGTTGATGAAGGGTTTCACTTAGGGTTAGGGCCCTCCTGCAGGGGCCAGCCCCTGAGAGTGGGACTTTGATTAAGGCATCCGTGAAGTTTCTGGAAAGCCACAGCCCCCTCCAGGTCCTTCCCATTTTCCCTGGCTGTGAGCAAGGCCACAGTGCCATCCTCCCTTCTTCAAGGAGTGGGCATCTAAGTCCTACTCTCTTGGCTCCAGCCCTTCATTTCCTGGGTCAGGTGAGTGGGTAGGCACACAGGGGCCCCTTGGGGATACAGGAGAGCCCCCTGCTCACCTGGGCAATCTTCTCTCTGTTCCAGAGAAGAACAACTTGTCCTTCATTGAGACCTCAGCCTTGGACTCCACCAACGTAGAGGAAGCTTTCAAGAACATTCTCACAGGTTATCCCAGGGTCTGGTGGGGGCCACAGGAACCCCCAGCAGGCCCACCAAAGGTGGTGTGGGAAGGGCACCAGCCACACTGGTTGCAAGCTTCAGAATGCAGCCCCTGACCCTTCATTCCTTAAACCTGCTGGTTAGTCTGAACAGGAGGACAGACATGGCAAGCTCTGTGAAGTCAGGCTAGATCCCACCTCTACTGGCACTTGGCACCCAGCTCCATGGGTGAACCCATGGCTCCATCAGGGAACAGCCAGAGGGGACTGCAGATGGCCTCAGGCCCAGAGTTCCTGGTTTTCTGGAAGTTTATTCTGAGGAGAAGAGGGTCTCTGATCTTTATGAAGAAGAGTCCTGGGCTGGGGAGGGTATCTGTGACCAGATGTAGGTTCTACTCTTGCTGAGTGCACAGGGGAGAACCCTTATGTCAGAGGTGCAGGTAGGCCACAGTGGGGGCCTTGGGAGGGGCACAACCTTGGGGGTACTCCCTGGAAGAGGTGACATCCAGATGAGCCCTGCAGGGGGCCAGTCACCACAGGCAAGAGTATGCAGGGCACTCACCTCACATCCCCCCATTGCAGAGATCTACCGCATCGTGTCACAGAAGCAAATTGCAGACCGCGCAGCCCATGATGAGTCCCCTGGTAACAACGTGGTGGACATCAGCGTGCCACCCACTACTGATGGACAGAAACCGAACAAGCTGCAATGCTGCCAGAACCTGTGACTGCCCCGTGCCTCGTCCAAATATGCGTGCGTGCACATCCTCATCCTTCGCCTGCCCCTCATCATGATGTCTTCTCTGACCTGACCCTCTCTGTCCCTCTGTAACTGGCTCCTACCCCTCCACTGAGCTCTGCAGACAACTGGGGCTTAGGAAGAACAGGAGTCCAGCTGCACCATCTGTCCTCCCCCACCCCAGGGAAGCTTGAAACCTGGCTGCTGCACCTGTTCTTCTTGGGTCCGGGAGGGGCACAACCTTGGGGGTACTCCCTGGAAGAGGTGACATCCAGATGAGCCCTGCAGGGGGCCAGTCACCACAGGCAAGAGTATGCAGGGCACTCACCTCACATCCCCCCATTGCAGAGATCTACCGCATCGTGTCACAGAAGCAAATTGCAGACCGCGCAGCCCATGATGAGTCCCCTGGTAACAACGTGGTGGACATCAGCGTGCCACCCACTACTGATGGACAGAAACCGAACAAGCTGCAATGCTGCCAGAACCTGTGACTGCCCCGTGCCTCGTCCAAATATGCGTGCGTGCACATCCTCATCCTTCGCCTGCCCCTCATCATGATGTCTTCTCTGACCTGACCCTCTCTGTCCCTCTGTAACTGGCTCCTACCCCTCCACTGAGCTCTGCAGACAACTGGGGCTTAGGAAGAACAGGAGTCCAGCTGCACCATCTGTCCTCCCCCACCCCAGGGAAGCTTGAAACCTGGCTGCTGCACCTGTTCTTCTTGGGTCCCAGTGGGCCTCTGGGTGGTGTGGGGAGGGTGGCAGGATGGACCAGGCCAGCCAGAGGCAAGAGGATGGGCACACCAAACAGGCTTCAATTTTCCACAGCAGACTCCAGGGAGCAATTACCTCCCTTCCTCTCTGGCTAGTTGTCCCAGCTGGCCCTGGTCCCCACCCAGAACCCCCCTCTGGGCTGAAGCCTGAAGAACAAGTGACCAGGGGACTGGGTCAGGCAGACAGAGGCTCCAGCATCCTACCACCCACATACAGTCAGCACCGCCTTTGACCTCAGCCTCTCCTGTGCGTGCGTGAATCCAGCTCCTGCCTGTAGATTTATGCTGGGAGAAGACCTCCCCCCCTTTCTGCACGCAGCGCACTCCCCACCCCTCCCTGTGCCCTTCTCTCTGTCTTGTCTCCCTGTCTGGTCAGGAACTGTTTGCAAGTGAAGCAATATCTCAGTGTTTTGTATATACAACCGCTCTTGTAGCCTTTGTTTTTTTGTTATTGTAGAGAAACAGATTCTTTATACACTTTGTAAGATTGACGCCAAACCCCAGCTCTCAGATCTCTTATTCTCCCTGTGGCCCCTGTTGCCCCAATGCCTCATTTCTCTGTCCCGTTACTAAAATGTGTAACCCGACTTCCTGGACAGAAACCTGCCGCTGCACTTTTGTCTTCTTTCTCTCCTCCAGGTGGCCACCCCTGAGCCAGGCCCCTTGCTGCACACATCCTCTACTGGGCTGCACCACCAGGCTCAGCCTCACAGGGAGCTAGAACACCAGGCCTGAACCCCTGCTCAGGACCATGCAGAGGCCTCCTGAGCTGACTACGGAGGCCCTGGGGGGGTAAGGGTGGGAGGGAAGGCTGGGGGTTGGGGGGTGACTTTAAACTCCTTGCTGCAGGGACCACCAGCTCTAGGACTTGAGGGTGGTCCTCCAGGAGGAGGTGGGCTGTGCCCACTGCTTTCAACTCCCAGCTCTGGGAGTTGGACTGCTCATTGCTTCCATCTATTCCCCACCTGGCCACCACTTGGGGTCCCAGCAAGGACTAGTAAGAGGGGCTGGCCCACATGTTGGCAGTACCAGTCCCATCCCAGACTGATCTCTGAGGAAGGCTGAATGGGATGCTTGTCCACACGGGCAGTACTGGCCTGAGGGTAGGTTCCCAAAGTGGAGGGAGCCGGGGGGAAGTGCCCAGCCCTGTCCCTGCACTGATCACATGACCCAATGGGTGTTCTCTCTCACCTGAGTGCTGGTAGCTGTTCTAGAAGCTCCAGACTCTGGCTGAACCTCTTGTGCTCTTGACCCCTAGGAGAGCCACCAGAGGGGGATTCCAGGCTCTGGCTGCCCTGCCCAGACATCCCTCCAAAAGAGCTCTTGAGTCATAGGGGCTCTTCTCACAGGAGTTTGGTGAGCCAGAGCCCATGCTCCAGGCTGAGGAGCACCCTGGGCTGGGGATCTGGTAGGGTGCACAATCCAGGGCCCATTTACATGGATCTCAGGTACCCTGGGTTTGGGTAGGGTGTGCTATGGAGAGGCAGAGGGTGAATGGGAGCTTCAGGAGGGCCAGTGAAGCACTCAAACACCCGAAAGGTTTCAAGAGTCAAAGATCAAATCTTTGTGGAGCCTCAGGTTGACCAGGCCCTGGGCACATGCCAGTATTTAGACTGATGTGACTCTGTCCCCTTGTAGGGTGATAGTCCAGTGATACTATTGCAGTTACTCTAATTTCAGTAATTTAATAAGCACAGCATGCTGGCTTTGTACTAAGCACTGTTCTTCAGAGTTTTTTGTTTTGTTTTTATGGTAAAATAAACATTAAAAAAAAATTTTTAATTGATTTTTAGAGAGAAGAAGGGAGAGAGAGCGATTTGTTTTCCACTTATTTATGCATTTATTGGTTGATTTTTGTATGTGCCCTGACGGGATCAAACCCATAACCTTGGCTTATTGGGACAATGCTCTAACCAACTGAGCTACCTGGCCAAGGCCATCTCAACCATTTTTAACAGTACAATTTAGTGGCATTAATGTGGTACACTCACATTTGTTGTACCACCATCAATCTCCAGATCTTTCTCATCTTCCCAAAATGAAACTCTGCCCCCATTAAACATCAATCCCCCATCCCCTGGCACCCACCATTCTATTTTCTGTCTCTGAATTTGTTAACCTAAGAATGTCCAAACGCATAGAGAATTTTTATTAGAATGTATTTGGGGATAACCCTGATGGGTGTGGCTCAGTTCATTGGAGCATCGTTCTGTACACCAAAAAGTGGTGGGTTTGATTCTCAGTCACGGTTACATACCCAGGTTCTATCCTGGTCAGGGTGCTTTTGGGAGGCAGCTGGTCTATGTTTGTCTCACATTGATGTCTCTCTCTCCCTCTTCCTCTCTCTCCCTTCCTCTCTCTAAAATCAATTTTAAAACATTTATTTGAGGATAAATTATTAGAGGATACACCTGAAAGCAAAATCTCAACAGACTGAGAAAAATGCTTTGGAGAATAACAATTTGCAATGTTTTTTATGCATTTTAGATTAAGGAGGAAGATTATATGAAAGTGTGAGAAGGCAAGATGGTGATCAAATTACAGGATAGTTAAGATCATGTGCTTTCATATGCTTTAAGGGGATCAATGAACAGGGCTTGCTGAAGGCAAAGATAAGCTATTTAGTAAAGAAGTTATTTGTCAGGTGTAACTACCCACTATGAACTGCCCAGTTAGCAATTTAGTTAGTTAGTTAGTTAGTTTTTTGTTAATACTCACCAAGAATATTTTTCCATTGATTTTTAAAAAATACATATTTTTATTGATTTCAGAAAGGAAGGGAGAGGGAGAGAGAGATAGAAACATCAATGATGAGAGAGAATTATTGATCAGCAGCCTCCTGCACACCCCCTACTGGAGATCAAGCTGGCAACCTCTTGATTCCTGGGTCAACGCTTAACTGCTGAGCCACACCCAGCTGGGCTCAATTGATTTTTTAAAATATATTTTTATTGATTTCAGAGAGGAAGGTAGAGGGAGATAGAGATAGAAACATCAATGATGAGAGAGAATCATTGATCGGCTGCCTCCTGCATGCCCCTTACTGGCGGTCGAATCCGAGCATGTGCCCCTGACTGGAATCGAACCCAGGACCCTCCAGTCCACAGGCCAATGCTCTATCCACTGAGCCAAACCAGCCAGGGCTCCATTAATTTTTTTTTTTTTTTTTTAAAGAGAGTGGAAGGGAAGGAGGGAGGAGGGGAGAGAGAGAAAAAAAAAAAATTGATGTGAGAAAGACACATTGATTGCTTGCCTCCCACAGCAAGTGCCCTGACCTGGGCTGGGATTGAACCTGCAACCCAGGTAAGTGCCCTTGACAGAATCAAACTCTGGACCCTTTGGTTAGCGGGCCAACACTCTAACCACTTAGCAACACCAGCCAAGACCCAGTTAGCAACTTATGATCAGACCACCCAGTGAGGTCACTTTCGATAGAATCCAATGATTGCTTGCCTCCCACAACAAGTGCCCTGACCTGGGCTGGGATTGAACCTGCAACCCAGGTAAGTGCCCTTGACAGAATCAAACTCTGGACCCTTTGGTTAGCGGGCCAACACTCTAACCACTTAGCAACACCAGCCAAGACCCAGTTAGCAACTTATGATCAGACCACCCAGTGAGGTCACTTTCGATAGAATCCCCCCACCCTTTTTTTTTGCCCACAAATTTCACTCCTCTAGGGACCTCATAAAAGTGGAATCCTGCAGTATTTGCCTTTTTGTGTGTAGCTTATTTCACTGAGCATAATGTCCTCAGGGTTTATCCATGTTGTAGCAGGTATCAGGATGGCCTTCCTTTTTAGGCTGAATAGTATTCCATTGTATGGATAGAGCACATTGTGTTTTTCCTTCATCTGTCCATGGACACTGGGGTTGCTTCCACCTTTTGCTACTGTGAATCACGCTGCTAGGAATGACATGCAAATACCTGTGTGAATCCCTGCTTTCAATTCTTTTGGGTGGAATTGCTGGAGCATATGGTAATTCTTTGTTTAATATTTTTGAGGAACTGTTAATCTAAATAAATTATGCAATAAAAGAATATAGTCCCACAAAAAATTAAACAATTACCATGTGATTCAGGAGGTGGGCATAATTTACCAGCCTCAATTTATAGACAGGGAACAGAAGTCATTGATGGGAAAAATAAATAAATGGGTATTTTTAAAAAAGTGACTCTCTCAGGGTCCCGCAGTTAATAAGTAAGCAGGTTTCCACACCAGGGCTATATAGTAACCACTTAGCTAGAAGACTTCTCCAAATGTTTATTAAGTGCTTACTATGTGCCAGGAAGCCGTAACAATTGAAGAAAATGGCCAGATAAAAGACTGGGAAGAAGTATACCAAAATTAAAAATATTATTTTATTTTATTATGGCCCTAGCTGGCTTGGCTCAGTGGATAGAACATTGGTCTGCGGACTGAAGGGTCCAGGGATTGATTCCAGTCAAGGGCAGGTACTTCAGTTGCAACCTTGATTCCTGGCTCTAGTTGGGGCATGTGCAGGAGGCAACCAATTGATGTGTCTCACATTGAGGTTTCTCTCTGTATCTCCCCCTCCCACTTTCTAAAAAAGGAAAAATATCCTCAGAGATGATTAACAACAGAATTTTATTATGGCCCAGCCAGTGTCGCCCAGGAGATCATGGTTCGATTCCTGATCAGGGCACATGTCCCAATTTTGGGCTTGATCCCCAGTGAGAGCATGCAGGAGGCAGCTGATTGATGTTTCTCATCAATGTTTCTATCTCTCTATCCCTCTTCCTTCCTCTCTCTGAAATCAATAAAAACATTTAAAAAATAAATTAAGAAAAAGGAATTCTATGAAAAGTAACCTTACAGGGTGGTCTGATCATAATTCCTAACAGGGCAGGTCATGGTGGGTAGTCACATCCTAGACATATAACTTTTGTAAAGGGTTTATTTCTGTGCATCTAGATTAACCTTTGAAATGCCTCTTTTTAAAACCTTTTAAATGTGAACCACCCTTTCAGACCCCTCCTCTAAAGTATAACCATCCTCAAGGGAGCACAATCTTCACTATTCTGTAATCCAGTCTCTACCTTGCTTTCTCACACTTTCATGTGATCTTCCTTGTGTTCCTTCTTTAATTTTGAATGCATAAAGAAAACTGCCAATTGTTATTTTGCAGAGCATTTTATTTTTATTTATTACTATTATTTTATTTTTGCAGAGCATTTTAGATCTTAATCCCTGGCATCAGTTTTGGCTTAAATAAACTCATAAAAATTCTCTGCAAGTTTGAGCTTTTCTTATGTCAAAAGAACCCCTATATTGCCACCACCCAACTTCAGTCAGTATAATTACACCCTATAGCAGCTGTCTTGCTACCATGAGAAAAAGGCCAAGAGGATCTCGGAGTCATTGACCCTATCGTCATTTGACCAAACCGATGCCAGCAGCCATCCTCTAGAATTCTTGTTGAAGCTAACAAAAATTGGCTCATCAATGAACATTAAATCTGGTGGGTGAAGGTTTATTGAGTAACAGGATAATTAGTTTCAAAGTATTTTCCCATAACTCACTTATTAACAAGTACAACATAATAAATCATGCTGGAGAAATCATGCTAGCAGACAATTTTGATCAGGTTAGCATAATCAGTGATGGAAGAAATCAACATTCTATGCCTCCTGATAGTTGTATGCACTGAGAACACCATCACTCTATGGTTCCTGTCCCAAATGAAATATTACACAAACATCAGTTGAGGGGCTTTCTAAAAATAACTAGCCTATAATCTTCCAAAGTACCAAGGTCATGAAAGACAAGGAAAGATTGAGGAATTGTTCTAGACTGAAGGAGATTGAATTAGATGACAAAATATAATATGTAATCCTGGGATGGATTCTGGAACTTTAAAGGACTTTATTGAAACTATAAATAATATTTAGGAATTACATGGTAATATCAGATGAATATTAATTTCCTAGTTTTTGAGGTTGTACTGAGATTATGTGGAAGAGTGTATTTAAGAAAAATACACTGAAGCAGGGAGAGCCATCGCTGCTGCCACCATGAGTGATCAGCAGCGGGACTGTGCCTTGGACTTAATGAGGTGCCTGCCTCCACAGCAAATTGAGAAAAACCTCAGTGACCTGACCGACCTGGTTCCCAGTCTATGTGAAGATCTCCTGTCTTCTGTTGACCAGCCACTGAAAATCGCCAGAGACAAAGTGGTGGGACTACAACAGAGACAGGGACTCATGTAGGTCACCATGGAGTAACAAGTATGACCCTCCCTTGGAAGATGGGGCCATGCCTTCTGCTCGGCTGAGGAAGCTGGAGGTGGAAGCCAACAATGCCTTTGACCAGTATCGAGACCTGTATTTTGAAGGCAGCGTCTCATCTGTCTACCTCTGGGATCTGGATCATGGCTTTGCTGGAGTGATCCTCATAAAGAAGGCTGGAGAGGGATCAAAGAAGATCAGAGGCTGCTGGGATTCCATCCACGTGGTGGAAGTGCAGAAGTCCAGTGGCCGCACCGCTCATTACAAGCTGACCTCTACGGTGATGCTGTGGCTGCAAACCAACAAATCCAGCTCTGGCACCAAGAACCTTGGAGGCAGCCTTACCAGACAGGTGGAGAAAGATGAAACTGTGAGCGACTCCTCGCCACACATAGCCAATATTGGGCGCCTGGTAGAGGACATGGAAAATAAAATCAGAAGTGCGCAGAATGAGATCTACTTTGGAAAAACAAAGGACATCGTCAATGGGCTGAGGTCTGTGCAGACTTTTGCAGACAAATCAAAACAAGAAGTTCTTAAGAATGACCTGGTGGAGGCTTTGAAGAGAAAGCAGCAATGTTAAACCTCTGCTTCACACTAACCGGACATGCCATGCACTCGTTAGATTCCTTTCTTAGAAAACTCGTTTTCTGCTCCCTTCCCTGTCCCTTTCCTCCCCGACAGGTCACACAACACCTGCACAGCGCTATCACACCCTGAGAATAAAGCCGCTAATACCCTCTCCGTCTCTAAGGCCTGCTTCTCACCACATTTTGCTATCAGAACTTGATGTTTCCATAGAGACCATGTGTGTTTTGTTTGCCCAGGCTCCACCCCCCCATTTATAGGCATAAAATACACTGTCTGTCTGCCTCCCCTTCCTTCCCACCTTTTTGTTACATTGGTGTAAAAAATGTAAAACAAAAAAATTTTATGAAATAACTGGTGTGTGAAAGAAGAAAAAAACTGGAAATCTGATTCCACGTGTGTTTGGGAGTTGCTTGGGGTTGGGGTGGGGAGCAGGGGACAGCTCTGGGAGGAAGGAGAGGTGGCCCTCAGCACTGTCCTGCACGCTGGCCCCTGGCCTCGGAGACCACGTTGTGGGGGCGGGGGGCCTCGACTGTCTGCTCTTCTGGCCAGGTGCTTTTCTGTCAATTTTTATGGAATGCAAAAGGAGTTTTTGTTTTATTTTGTTTTTTTGTAAAGCTTAAAAAAAACCTACATCTTGTACTTGAGCTTCCATACTTAAAAAAAAAAAAGGGAAAAAAGAACAAAAAATAAAAAGAAACTGGGATGCAAAAAAAATACACTGAAGTATTAAGGATTAATGAGATACCATGTGTGTACCTGATACTCTCAAAGAACTCTGAAATGTTAACAATTGGGCAAAAGGTTTATGGGGGCTCTGTGCATTATTTCTGCAGCTTTTATGTTTATTTGACAATTTAAACATAAAAAATAATTTAACATGAGCCCTGGCAGTTGTCCTGATACACCAAGGTTGCAGGTACGATGCCTGGTCAGGGCACATACAAGCAGCAACCTTTATTGATTACAGAGAGGAAGGGGTAGAGAGAGAGAGAAACATCAATAATGAGAATCATTGATCGGCTGTCTCCTGCACATTCCACACTGAGATCGATCCCACAACCGGGGCCATGTGCCCTGACCAGGAACTTGAACCATGACCTCCTGGCTCATAGGTCAATGCTCGACCACTGAGCAACACCGGCTGGACCAAAATTGATGTCTCTCTCTCTCTGCCCCTTCTCTCCAATTAATAAATAGAAAGTTTAAAAAATTTTAACCCAAGTGCATAGATGTAAACATTTGATGTGTTTTGATTTGCAATCATTATCCTTAAAGGAGGCCAAATTGTCCACTTTGCTGCCAGTGGGATCTTCTTTTAGTTGGCCCACACTGGCACTACGTTAGTAGGTAATGTCTTTGACAACTATTGTGCTTTCTGGTATGTCACGATGTGCCAAGTTTATTTTGTACATTTTCTGCACCAGACTGAGAATCAGTCATTTCCCCAAGGTTCCCTGGTTCTTTCCATTGGAAATGAAACTTAAAGTCCGCAAGCTTAAGGAGCACTCATTGCAATGAGGTTGGTCTTTGTTTCTGACCTTTTTAGTGTATTTAAGAAAAATACACAGAGGCAGGGAGAGCCACAGACGCTGGGACCGGGACCGCCATCGCCGAACAAAACTAAAGAATGTTTGCTTTTTATTTATTTTTTAATATATTTGTATTGATTTCAGAAAGGAAGGGAGAGGGAGAGAGAGAAACATCAATGATGAAAATCACTGATGAGCTGCCTCCTGTAGCCCCTACTGGGGTTTGAACCTGCAACCCGACCTCCTGGTTCATAGGTCAATACTCAGTCGCTGAGCCATGCCAGCTGGCCAGTTTTATCTTTTTATAAAGATAAAATATATCATGATGCCCTGGCCACTGTGGCTTAGTTGGTTAGGTGTCTTTCTGTGAACTGAAAGGTTGCTGATTCAATTTCTAGTCAGGGCATATGCCTGAGTTATGGGCTCAATCACCGATAGGCAGCATGCAGGAAGCAGCCAATCCATTATTTCACTATCACATCAATTTTTCTCTCTCCCTCTCCCTTCCTCTCTCTCTAAAGAACAATAAAAACATTTAAATATATATATATCATGATATTCCCAATTCAAATTCAAGACTACAAGGGTTTTATTTATTGAGATCAATCTTATATCTGTACCCCTCTGAAAATCCCAGTTTTTGACACCAACATAATTACTCCTTTGTATTATCTCATATTACACATGTAACATGCTTAGAACAATTTTCACCACCACCACCACCAATATAGTAGTGGCATGTACAAATTGTTGTGTTTTAAAAGTCAGTAGGAGTTAATCTTTGTGTTATTTTGTCACCAACTGGATACAATGGTTCATTAGTTTTATTTTTGTGTTTAGGGGTATCTCCAAATTTTGTTTTATAATTATATAAAATATTTGCATGGCCCTAGCTGGTTTTGCTCATTGGATAGAGCGTTGGCCTGCGGACAGAAGAGTCCCAGGTTCAGTTCCCATCAAGGGCACATGCCCGGGTTGCGGGCTCAATCCCCAGTAGGGGGCATTCAGGAGGCAGCCAATCAATGATTCTCTCTCATCGATGTTTCTGTCTCTCCTTCTTCCTCTCTGAAATCAATAAAAATATATTTTAAAAAATAAAAATGAACACATGTTATTTCTTTTTTCATTAAAATATATATAAGCTAGTATAACAATAGAATTTAACGGAGACAATTGAGCGATCTATATATTAAATAAAGGAGGGGTGGGAGGAGCAAAGGAGTATTGAGGCTTTTTGCATGTGCCTAGGATCTCCCACCCCCTTTTCTTCTAGTTAACTTTCACTCACACCTTGTCAGTTCAATTGCTGCTTCTTCAGGGACATAAGTTTGGATTGTCCAAATTATTCCATGATATGCCCCCCTCACTTGCTAAAATTTATCACCCTGTAAATTAATAATTAATAACATAATTGGTTGTTTTATGTCCTTCTCACTCTAGATTGAGGTCCATAAGAGCAATATTTCTCTTACTCAACATTGTATCCCCAGCGCCTAGCACAGTGCCTGCTCATAATAGGCTCTCTTTTTTAAAAATACATTTTTAATTGATTTTAGAGAGAGAGAAACATCAGGATCCAATCATGACCCCTTAGTACAGAGTACAACGCTCAACCGAGTCACACTGACCAGGGCCTAATAGGCTCTCTAATTGTTGTTTATATTACATCTAGTGAATGAACCTATTGCATGAATGATGTTGGCTTTGGCTCTTCCACGGTCTCCTAACCTCTCTAGGCTTCTGTTTTTCCTCTGTAAAATGTGACCACATGGTGTCTCCCTCCCCTAGGATTGATGGGAAGCTTAAGGCAGGTGGCGAACACTCAAATTCTGTAACGGTTTTATTAACAAGTACTGGTGGCCCGCAGGTGGCGCTAGCAGCCCCTCTCGTGCTCCTTGCCGGATTAGGGAGGGGCCAAGACTGGTGGTGGGGCTGGGACAGGGGGCGGAGCTAGGCCGTGGCAGGGGCGGAGCCAGCAGCTGCAGCGCAGCGGGGCGCCCTGTGCTGGCA